TGGATATGGGCACCAGTGACCCACGCAACCCTGAAAAGGAAGAAGCGTGTACAGAAAATGGATGGATGGATGGAAACATGAATCCTACCCACAATCCTCCACTGCAGTCACATGACAAACAGCCAAACACAGCAGAATGCTATTCCCTGTTCCCTGACAACTAAATATCACCTACATTATGTCATCAAACTATTGCACACCAACAAATGTATTCAAGCAAAGGAAACCAGACAACATATGTTTTATTTCAACTATGTCTTGTCCTCTCCTTGAAAAGTGAAGCAAGGAAATGAGGAGCAGCAGCCTTTGTGCGCATGCACCCTCAGTTTTAGCCCAGGAGAGTAGAAGTTACTTAATATATTCATGTTTATGTGCTGTCCAGAAAAAGCACTTAAATATTACTGGTAAAATATTTTTAGCATTTACTTTTTTGTACAGTAATATTGATATATAATATAATGCATATTGTTTATCTAGTAAATTTTAGTAGTTTAGAGATTTTGAATTTTTTTTGTAAAATTTAAAAGAATAACTAAATAAATGTTACTACACCCAAAAATCCTTTTTTTCAGAGTAGCTTGTAAATCCAATTAATATTCACTTATTTTGTGAACAGTTCTGTTCAAAGCCCCTCTCTTTAAAATATATTTTATATGTTTTAACCTCACGACATGGACACTCTTTACAGGAAGAGCAGACTCTACCTACTGAGGAGGCTGAGGTCTTTTGGAGTGCAGGGGACACTCCTGAAGACATTTTTTGACTCTGTGGTGGCATCAGCCATTTTCTACGGGATGGTTAACTGGAGCGGCAGCTTATCTGCAGCTGAGAGGAAGCTGTTAGATAAACTAATCAGGAAGGCCAGCTCTGTGCTGGGATGCCCCCTCGACACAGTGCAGGTGGTGGGAGACAGAAGAACTCTGACTAAAATAACATCATTGATGAACAATGTCTCACACCCCATGCATGAAGCTATGGCTGAACTGGAGAGCTCCTTCAGTGACAGACTGCTGCATCCGAGGTGCACAAAGGAGCGTTATCGCAGATCCCTCCTCCCAGCAGCTGTCAGACTCTATAAACAGCACCACGCCCAAAAATCACAATGTGCTTACAAAAATCACAATAAGTGTTTACACACCTGCTGCCTGCACAATCATTTGTACTGTTACTATTCATTGTCATTACTCATCTGAACAATCATTTCTACTACTATTCATTTTTATTATTAATAATCTGACAAATCAGTTGCTCTGTCATTACCCATTTTAAACTTTTAAAATAACTCTGCTGTAATTGCACATCCGTGTTTATTGTCTGCACTGTGATTACAGTTAGTGATACTTTACAGTTGAGATTCTGAGTCTGTTGAGATTGTTTTTTGCACTGAAAATAGAAAAATTCTTATTCCTAATGTCTGATAGTCTGTCTCTAAAACAAAACATATCTTTTTTTAATTCTTGCACAATTATTATTATTATTTTTTTATTATTAGCAGTAGTATCATGGCTAGTCAGTGTTAATTTCATTTTTTGTGCACTGTCTATAGTTTGTAAAGTAACTAGCGTGTGAACCTCTGTACTGATGCTGCTGTTACACCTGAATTTCCCCTCGGTGGGACAATAAAGGCTATTTCTATTCTATTCTTTCCATTTGAGGCTAGAACAGTCACATTTTGTCAGCAGATCTGTACAGTTGCCTTACTAATTTTGATTCATAATAATCAATAGTACTTGATAAACACATTTCATTTGGCACAATTCTTAACCATTCAACCTCTGCATGCTCCCTGACTGAAATATTTTAGTTGGTTTGGAAAAGCAGCATGAAATAACTACCATCTGTGTGTGAGACTGTTTAAAAAAAGGTTTTGACAAGATGTTGATGATTCCTTGGGCCTCCTGCTCTCTTTGTTCATYCTGCCAAGCTGACTTACCACTACTGCCAGTGGAAGATGATTGCACCTGTAGTTGCAGACCTAACTATGCAGGCTTCACCATGGTTACTGAATCACAGACAACACACAAAGAAATGTTAAAAACAGAGTGAGAATTTGTTTCTTCTTATCCGCCATCACCTGAGACAGGTGAGAAGACTATGCATTCCCAATGGCACACCAGACCATGCATTTATATTGGGCTGATTTCAGATCTCTGCAAGAGGAAATKACTTTGCTTGAATCAGGGAAAYACACGATAAGATATTCAGAAGATTTTATCTGCTCTGAAATATTTCGTTCCACTTTGCTGCTGTATTATTTTGCCGTCAGGTAGCTGGAGGTAGCTGGCTGGTAATGATGCCAGTTCTGGATAGTGTTTTATGTCGGTATACTCAACATCTGTGAGGTTGACTGCAGAAAGTGAAGCCCAATTATCCGCTGAAACAAAGCATCGTATTGTTAAAAATCAGGAACGACGACAGGAGGTAGAACACAAATTACAACTGTGTAGAAGCCTAAATCATAAATTACATTAACAAATGAGTGAAATGAAAACATCACGTTTAATCAGAAACAACTATTAGTCACTGCTACAGTATCAAGATGCAGACAGAAAAGGTGATACCCAATTATAAAATTGTTTGGATTGTTGACATGTTTTTCTTCCCAACATGCAGAATGAAAAGGCATTATCACCTGTTGTTCATGACAAGCTGTTGGCTCTGCAAAGCTGATTCTGAAAATGAAAAGATCTGCAGATAGAAGACTGTCACAATATCACTCAAAACAGGGGGAATGTGAACTGTTTTATTTTGCTAGTTTGCTTGATGGTCATTTATGTTCATGTTATTGGGTAAGATACTTGTAGAGAGAGACGTTTGTGAGAATTGTTGGTAGAGATACATGACAGCATGGTACATACTTGGTAATTATCTGGTGCATTTTTTGTACATACCTGGTACCAGAGATGGAGACGCGTGACTCGGACTTAGACTTGAGTTGCACTTAAGTCTATACAATTAGAGACTTAGACTTGACTTGGATCCTAAAGACTTGAGACTTGACCTGGACTCATGGTTTGAGACTTGCGAACAATACAAGTCTTTTCACTGCCCAGCTCACGATTCTCACTTCCTCAATACACATCCATGCTCCGCTCCGCTCCCCCTCACCTGAGAATGGGAGGGGCCAGCACCGTCCAATGTTAATGACGTGTACCCTACAT